CCTGCCGCTTAAGACAAGAGGCTGAAGGATCTCATAAGACAAGAGGCCTCGCCCACCTGTTCCAGGCCCTCAGTTCCCCTCTGTCATTTGGGGGGGGGGGAGAGATGGAGCCCCACTTCTCGTTCAGCTTAATTCCCCCCCATGATGTGGCAGCGAGGTGGAATCCACGCCTGGATCTGTGCACCCTCCCCTATGTCCAGCCCTGTGCTCTGTCGCCTGCAAGCAGCAGAGTCAGGGGGGAGGGAGCAAGGCCAGTGCTCCATCCCCTCTGTCCCAAGTGTTATTGTGGTGCTCTGCTGCGCTGTCGCCTCCTGTCCGAATGCTCCTGGAGCACTCTGATTGGTTGCTTCAGTCAGCTAATCAGAGTGTGAATAAAGCATTATGGACAGACAGACTAAGGCTTTTATACATAGAGATAGAAGATAGATAGAAGATCCTAGATAGCTTACATTTTGGAAGACAGGTTCCCATTGTTCTCTCGATCCTATTGCATCAGAACGCCCTATAACCAGTCCCTCTGAATTTATACCAAGGTATTTGCCATAGCCAGACTTCAGTGCAATCCTTAAATTGGGGAAGGGGATGGATAGATAGGCAAAGACACACAGAATAATATTTTAAAGTTAAAACATCCAAGGGCATTCAGTTTACCAAAGAAAGGTAGCATCATCATAAAACAATTTTGAAGTATAACAAATATTGGTTCAGGGTTAGAAGAAAGACACAACTGTTTAAATTACATTTTCAAAAAAACTGAATTGGACATCAAAGCTTGTGTATATTTATTAAGTTACCTGGTGTCAGACAACTTTACTGCTGTAAACTGCTCAGGAGGACTAGGGCCATCATCATCTGGAGGAGATTTTTTTTTTTTAAGATTAATATCAGGTATAAAGCATTTGACATAGAACATTTTAATCTGCAAGATCGTAGAACATAAAAATAATGAATTATCGGTGTACGTTACAGGAAGAATTATTGGTTGAGGGCAAGATATTTTGATGGATAATTTTCTCTAGTTTTTATAGTTACAGCTATAAAATACATTTTGTACACTTTCCAAAGTTAAACACCTATGTTCTCAGTATTCTACAAGATGCTGAATTTGTTTCAAGGAATTTAGGACTCAGACTTTATAGCAATTCATGCAGACTGCATGTCCAATCCTGTAGACTTCTTTGAAAATAAAAGCATCACAAAGTGAAAGGTTAAGATTTTCATAAGGCCATGTACTTGCTCTAGCTTAGTTGAGAGAATTACTAGAATACTGTTTGACTTCCTGCCTGACTAAATATCTTGCTCAAAACCAGAATGAGCAGAAGATCAGCTACCAGGCCATTTCAGCAGAATACCTGCACAACAGCAGTTATGGAAGGATGCTTTAATGACATTTGGGATGGAGTGGTAAACCGACATGATCTGGCTTGAGTTCCTCTCTTTCTTAAAAGTTGATCCTATACAGATTTTGTATGATTTGATAAAAGTTACACTGCTTTCTAGGTGAGTCTCTTCAAGAGTAATTAATTGTATATATAAAACAAAACAGGGAGAAACTAGATTAGTAGAACTGATTAACAGTTACTAATGGGTGAAATGATCTTCTCTACTGTATTATCCTGAATCTGATGCAATTAACTAGCATTATTATAAAACATTTATTGGCTCAGAGAAAAATTCTCTATTTAATTAAATAAATGTTTCATACCTAGACACTACAAATTACCCTCTCCCTTGTTTTAAACAAACCTTTATGTGGGGCTCCAAGTGTAAATAGGCCATTGTCAAGGGCATGGATATAAGCTCCTTTGTCCATTTCTATAGCTACAGATCCTGTGATTTCACCGAAATTGCTTACTGCCCACCAGTTTCCTGAAATGCAAGAAAATTATTCAGTGGTAAACATTTGGCATTATTTTATTCTTTATGCTACTTTATAGTATTTATGTTACTAGTCACAATTGTATCATACCTCATGACTCCAATTGTTAACAAGAACATCTTTTGTGTTAGGTGCTGTACAAACACAAGGCAATCTATGCCCCAAAGGATTTCTAACTTAAAAAAATAAGAGTACTTATGCCATGAGTCTGATCTTTACAGCAGGATGCTGAATAGATAAAAGGGGATAAGAATGTATGTGTCAAGGCCAGACAAAAAAGATGTTGCAGTGATCAAGATACAAAGCAAAAGCCTAAATGAGAGTTTCAGTTGTGTACATGGACAGGAAAAACTGTATTTCATGTATTTTACAGAAAAAGTCTGGGAGATGTAGACATCATCTGGATTCAAGGAGCAAAAGAGCTGAAGATGACACCCAAGTTATAGACCCCAGTGACAGCAGTGCAATCCTACAGTCAAACTGAGATAGCAGATTTTGGCATGGGGTACAGACTTGGGAAGGAGAGAGATTTGTTTTAGCAATGCTGATCTTTAATTTATGGATAGGGATTGAAGAAGAGATGCCAGTGAAACAAGCTAAGACTTTAGTTAGCACAGGAGACAGTGCTGGTCTAGCAGCATGCAGTAGAGCACAGGAAGTTCTTATCCAATTTAGGTAGCCTGGTGTAAAGTCCTTTTTGATTACAATTACATTTAAGATCACTGTACATTCCTAACGTAACCACCTCTAATATTCCAGGAGTTGGACAAAGTTTATTCTGCATCACTCCTTTCATAACAAATGCCTGATAAAAATGTTTACCACGTGCCCATTTGCCAGACATGGCAATGAGTAATGGAATCAAATTATTGGCTAAAAAGAAATCCTGTGACCTGAAAGTCCCAAGACAACATGGAGCATGTTGAACCTCAGATCTCCCTGCTGAATTCTTGGTAGACATAGCTCACAGTTCTGCAAGTGATTTGCAAGTCAGATGATCTACCTCTGTCAGTGGGGCAGCGGCTTGTCGGTGTGGTGCCACAACTCAGGATGTTAACGTCTCCCACGAGTCACCAGCCGCCACTGAAGACCCCAAATTTGGCAGCAGGCAAGGGCCGCAGAGGTGAGCAGCAGCATTCAGCTTTGGGTTCTAGAGCTAGGTCAAAGCAGTGGCTCAGTCAGCCAGGCCAACAAGCCCTGTGGGTGGGTTATGATGGACAGTAATTTTACAAAGTTTCAGATTATGGATTTTTGTAGAATAGTGTGGATATGGATGATCCTGGCCTGAGACAGAGGTTTGGACTAGATGGATATGTAGGTCCTTTCCAGCCTGACTTCTCTAGGATTCTATGAATATTTTCATTGCTGTTTTCAGACATCAGTTAATTTACATTTAGTCTGAAGGTGCCATACAATTATGAAGTTTGCAAGCCAACCTTTTTCCAAGACAGCAGTATTTTTTTCCTCCTTCTGAGATGTATGGAGCGATTTGTACTGGCTCACAATTACAAACCTGCTGTATCTATTTGAATGTATACACGTTCACCCCTTTTCCAATCCAGGCCATGTTGCAAGCACTGCATATCAAAGCTTAAGAAACAAGTGTTACAATATTATTCCCTTCGCACTCAACCTAATAAAAGTGAGCAATTACCTAGCACTACAGCGAAGGCTTCACAACTGCCGAAAAGATGATTATTGAAATAAGCCAAGATTATTTGTTATGCCCAGAAAAACACAGACTTAGACCCACCATGGAAACCATAAGGCTCCCTTCATCAGGGAGGCCAGTAAAGACATTTGACTACCTGGGACAGCTAAAGAGAAAGCAGGGATGGGAGTGCGAATCACAGACTTGTAACCTAGGGGAGC